ATACACACACGCGCACACACACACACACACAACACACACAAACACACACACACACACACACACACACACACACACACACACACACACACATACAGACCCTTTTTTGGTGGCGGCACGCGCACACACACACACACAACACACACACGCACACACACACACACACATACAGACCGTTTTTTCTTGGCGGCGCGTGGAATGCCTACTACTTTGAATTCGAATTCCTGCCGCCAACGCTGCAAGGGCATCGCAGAAAGATGTGTGCCCCTGGTGAGGGCATTTCAAGGATGGACCGACAAAACGCCACCAGCGGTCCAGTAAGGGCATATCGGAAGTCACGCCCCATGGTGACTGGGGCCTGCGGAAAATTTCAGAGGCCCGAGGAGCACCACAGGGTAAGTCGGCCTTCACAGGGGCACACCGCAAATAAACGCAAACTTTGGGGGCATTTCGAAACTTTTCCATATATTTTTTACAAAAATGGGCGACCATTCCATTATAAGCCGGAGAAAAAGAAAAAGCCGGGAAAACGGGTCCGGCGTAAGAGGATCGGATCGAATGCCTGAATCTGGATGCCTGAATCTGGATGTGTTTTACGCCGAGATGCAGAAAAGCAGTTCAATCTCGATTTCCTGCACCTCTCTACAAACACGTCCAGATGCAGGCATTCCATCCGATCCTCTTCGTTAGTCGGACCACGTCCCCGTGCATATATGCCGCAGCCATGTGAGGCTGATGAGCAAGGCACCCACAGCCAAACCCGTCCCCAACCGCGGTCGACAGCTGGACCGAAATTTACACGCGAAGCAAAAAAACAAAAATAAAAATAAAAAAATTACACGCAAACACTACAATAGTAGTTAACGGCAAAAAACACAGTTCCCACATTGCACCGTAAATCAATCACGTTTTTCTGCATCTGTCCTCAAACGTCGTCCCGATTCAGGCGTTAAATCTAATCCTCTGTGCTAGACCGGGCCCAACATTTGGATCGAAATTTTCACGCAAACACTAGTTATTAACCGCAAAACCGACATCGATCACGGTTTTCTGTATCTGTCCTCAAACACGTCCAGATTCAGGCGTTGAATCTAATCCTGTGTGCTGGACGGCGGCCAACAGTTGGATCGAAACTTACAGGCAAACAATACTGTTACAGTAGTAGTCAATTAACGGCAAAATTTCTTTTTTTTCCAAAATAAAATAAAATAAAAATAACGGCAAAAATAACTTCGGGTTGAATTGTGAGGTTTCCCCGGCCTCGTTCATATATTTGGAATATAAGAAGGGACTGTGTTAACCCCAAAAAAAAAAAAAAAGGGCAAAAACGACAGTCTCCCACATTGCACCGAACGCAGATCAAGCACGGTTTTCTGCATGTGTCCTCAAACACGTCCAGATTCGGACGTTAAATCTAATCCTCTGTGTTAGAGGTGCCTCGCCTCAGACGCTACATTCTCCTAGATTATTGCTAAAACACAGACGTACTGAAAAAAAAAAAAAAAAAAAAAAAAAAAGATAGATGACGAAAATATATGCAAAGAAGATTGAGAGAAGAATATATAGATTAGTTATAAAAAAAAATAAAAATAAAAACGAAAATCATAAACGTGGTACGCACCCTATTCTTTCTTTTTTTTTTTTCTTTTTTTTTCCCTTCTTTTTTTACGCACATAGAAGACCCCCCACCTAGATTGCTCTTCACACGCAGTCCCAAATATCCCTTTTTTTTTTTCTTACAAGCATGTATACTGCTCGAAAACACGCACACGTTCCTCTACATATTTCAACGCCTTGGGCTCGGGTCTCATCAGGAGGCTTCCTGAGCATAACCTTTTGCCTTCCAGCCCACTCCTCAGTGCCTGCAAGGAGGGGCCTGCAGCCATAACCAATGACCTCCAAAACCAGAAAAAAATCCTAGCTACAATCCACTGAATCAGATCTATAATTATTAATTACAACTGACCAAAATATATATATATATTCCAGTGGTGACTGATTCGGATCTGCGGGCAGACCTACCAAATTCTTGTGGTTTGACAGCCACAAATGTCTGCCTACAGGCTTATCGGCGTCAACGTTATAGTGCATCCCAATTTCTTACGATTGCGTATCAGCTTGACGCTATTGAAAATCAGTTGTTGCTTGACCATAATAGTCCACCTG